GAGTTCAAATCCTGACTCTATCATTTGCTGGTTACTGAATGACCCTGTGAAAGTTGCTTAACCTTTATGAGTCGTAGATTACTCATCTATGAAATGAAAATAATACTTACTACACAACCAAGCATTAAGGCCCCTAGCAGAGCCCCAGGCATGTGTGTTGGTGTTCAGTCAGTGGTAGCTATAGTGCTTTATGGTCCAAACATTATACACATATCCAGATACATCCCAGCCATGTGGCTATTCATATAAATGTGTCCATTTATTCCCGCTGACCTTTCTGTTCCCTCTGAAACGTGTGTAGCTGCAAGTGAGCACCCGCTGAGCTGGACAGGAGGGTCCACAAGCAAACAGAAGGAACAGAGGCCGACAGGAGTCCTGCAGGTATCTGGGCAGTGCCTGGGGCAGGTTAGGGACACAGAAAGGATCCTGGCAGCTAAACCGCCTGTGTTCCCACAGAGATGCTTCCCTTCTGAGAGCACGGAGTGAGTGAACGTTAACCTTATAATTATTAACTCAGATTCTAAACATAAAAAGCCAAATGACCTGTGCAGAGTGGAAGCCAGGGAAAGTCTTATCAAGAATGAATCAGCCTCTTTGATCTGGAGGTAAACTGACTCATTAACATCAAGCTTCCACCTGGGGTTTTTCCAGACACTGAAGTGGTTGCCTAATTCCCAGCTGTCTGGAGTTTCCAGTTCAAACTGGCCTTAAGGAGAAAAAAAAAAAAAAGTCCCACCACCTCAGTAGCATTCACACTCCATTAAAAACATACACAGATCTCTGCTACTAATCCAAAGGATTAAAGGCTCCAAAAATATTCTTATGGTAATTAAAAACAACCCAGGTAAAATAAAGATACCCAGTTTGAAACTAAATGTCCAAGTAGAGAAAGAGGGGTAAATGGATGGAGTTAAAACAGAGAACAGAGGTAGAGGCACAGTCAGGGAGTAGCAGAAAAGGAGAAAACAATAGAGGGGAAACCAAAAGTGAACATGGAGGAAGATAAATACAAAATACACCGAGGGAGCTGGGATGAGGGGGGGTCGTCTAAAGAAATGGGTGAAAAAAACAGGAAAAAGAGGAAAGAAGGAGGCAGCCGAGCAAGAGCCATGGTAATGAGCAGCTCTCACACCATTTCCAGAAGCCTCTCCTACCTACCCGCCCAGAGATCATCTGCACTGGGCTATGAATTAATCAGCATGTAAATCACCCCCTTTATCTGCGGAAATTGAATTTAGCTGCCAATCCTGATTGAGGGCATAGAGGCCTCCTCACAGAAAGATCACAGCTCTCAGGGAGAATGCCTTTTCTTTCCTTAAATCAAAGCTTGCATAAACCCATGGAAACAGCTGCAGCTGGAGCCACAGACTTTGTGAAAGGTAGCAGGCTGAGGACAGTAATTATAATTAGCAGTTACATAACATGTTTGTTCTTCAAAGTGCTCTACAAGCATCAGCTAATTAATAGCTTACTATGCCCCATGCAGAGATACTGGTTTTTCCTGCGGTGACTAATCCTTGTACCCCCATTGAAATCTGAATGGTGGCAGCAGAGTAGCTTGAGTAATGAAGCAAACGGCTGAGGGTCCAGAAGCTACGCCCAGCCATCTTATCCAGTGACTCCATAGGTAGCCCTGTGTTGGGGACACTTCTCCAAATGCTGAAGTCAGTACCCCAGGAGGCAGCTGCCTCGCCTCCTCCAAATAACTCTCGGAGGTGCTATTAGGGATGCAATGATAGGTTGGAGTGGCCATCAGTCTAGTTCAGTCTGGCATTAGCTCTTCTCAATTTCCCCAATCATTAAGACTGCGACCGTGGAGTCTAGGGTGTAGTTCCAGTTTGCTCTTGCTTTCCTGTGCAAGTTGGGCAAATCAATGCGACCTCTCTAAGAGAAGGTTGAATTAGATCTCTGGGTTCTCACCCAGGTCTACCCTTCTTTGTTTATCCACGGCAGTCTCTTGCCTACAACCCCTTGAGTTTGTACTGGAGATAACTGAATGTAAAAATTGCATGGCACATGGCCAGGCTCAGTGGCTTACGCCTATAATCCTAGCACTCTGGGAGGCTGAGGCGGGAGGATTGCTTTAGGAATAGAAGGAAATTAGCTGGATAACTAAAAATATATAGAAAAAATTAGCCAGGCATGCTGGCGCATGCCTCTAGTCCCAGCTACTTGGGAGGCTGAGGGAGAAGGACTGTTCAAGCCCAGAAGCTTGAGGTTGTTGTGAGCTAGGCTGATGCCACGGCACTCTAGCCCAGGCAACAGAGCAAGACTGTGTCTCCAAAAAAAAAAAAAAATTGCATGGCACAGACAAGGCCTCAGTAGCAGAGCTGAGTTTTCCACCTGCTCCAAAAATGCTTTACCCAAGGACTTCAGAGGTCCATGAATGCTTTGAATTTATTTGTTAAACATCATATGTATACATGTATGTGCATTATCTTTGAGGAAAAGGTCTGTTTTCCCTAGTATACTGTAATTTCCAAGAGGGCAGTGCCAACAAGGTCCCTCACACATAGTGCACACAAAATAGATATCTATTGAATGAATGGATAGATCTCATCAAATGCCTGTCCCCAAAATGGTTATGAGACATTGCTCTGTAGACAAATAATCACCAGAGGGCACATGTTTTGCTTCCTCTGGCAAAACAAAATACACCGAGGAAAATGTTGATGAGCAAGATCCAAGACATTCCACCATAATTCTGCTGCTAGTCACACCAGAGACCCAGGCCAAAGCTACCTGGAGATTCCACTCTGCAGAGATCTGTCTTCAGAGTCAAGCAAGTCAACATCCAGAAATGTATTCCCAGAGAACATGTGACAACCATTTGTCACACATCCCTGATCAACCATCACAAATGGGAAGAATCATTGCATTTTCCCACCTTGTCTCTTGAAGGCAGAGGTATGAAGTGAAGCATAGGTACACTTCTGATTCATGAGAAGATTTTCACGTGAGGCTAATAATTACAGGAAAAAGACTAACATGTGCATGGTCCTTTAAACTTTCCAAAATCTTCCCCGTCGATTATCTCATTTCACCCCCTCTCATCACTCTTGGAAGTAGGAAAGGCAGACTTTACTTTCCCCCTTGTATAGATGAGGAAACTGGGGTTCATGGTGCCTAGCCTGATGGCACTGCCAGAATGTGAAGTCTCAAAACCCCTGTTCACCAGCAATTCCACTTCTGGATAAATATCTGAAAGAATAGAGGGCCAGATGTGGTGACTCACACCTGTAATCCCAGTGCTTTGGGAGGCCAAGGCAGGAGGATCGCTTGAGGCCATGAGTTCCAGACCAGCCTGGGCAATAGCAAGACCTTGTCTCTAGAAAAAAAATTAAAAAATAGCTGGGTGTGATGGCATAGCCTGTAGTCCTAGCTACTCAGGAGGCTGAGGCAGGAGGATTGCTTAAACCCAGGAGCTTGAGGTTACAGTGACCTGTGATGATGCCACTGCACTCTAGCCTGGGCAACAGAATGAGACCCTGTCTCTAAAATAAAATACAAAAAAATTTTGTTTTAATTAAAAAAGAAAGAATTGAAAACAGGGTCTCAAAGCGATATTTGTATACCCATGTTCATAGCAACATTATTCACAATAGCCAAAAGGTAGGAGCAATCACCTCTGGTGATTATTTATCTACAGAGCAATGTCTCATAACCATTTTGGGGACAGGCATTTGATGAGATCTATCCATTCACTCACTAGGTATCTATTTTGTGTGCACTATGTGTGAGGGACCTTGTTGGCACTACCCTCTTGGAAGTTACAGTATACTAGGGAAAACAGACCTTTTCCTCAAAGACCTGCACATACATGTACACATATGATGTTTTACATCCATATATAAATCTGTGTCCATCAACAGATGAATATAAAAACAAAATGTAGCCGGGCGCGGTGGCTCACGCCTGTAATCCTAGCACTTTGGGAGGCTGAGGCGGGTGGATTGCTCAAGGTCAGGAGTTCGAAACCAGCCTGAGTGAGACCCCGTCTCTACCAAAAATAGAAATAAATTAATTGACCAACTAAAAATATATATATAGAAAAAATTAGCCGGGCATGGTGGCACATGCCTGTAGTCCCAGCTACTCGGGAGGCTGAGGCAGGAGGATCGCTGAGCCCCAGAGATTGAGGTTGCTGTGAGCTAGGCTGACGCCATGGCACTCACTCTAGCCTGGGCAACAAAGTGAGACTCTGTCTCAAAAAAAAAAAAAAAAATGTAGTATATCCATACAATGAAACGTAATTCAGCTCTAAAAAGGAAAGAAATTCTGACACATGCTACAACATGGCTGTACCTTGAAGACATTATACTTAGTGAAATAAGTCAGTCTCAAAAGACAAATATCATATGATTGTACTTAATATACTTATATCAAATTTATAAGACACAGAAAGAAGAATGCTGGGGTTCCCAGAGCTGTGGAGAAGAAAGGTGGGGAGTTGTTCTTCTATGGGTATAAAGTTTCAGTTTCGCAAGATGAAAAAGTTCTAGAGATTGGTTATGCAACAATATGAATACATATAACACTATTGAACTGTATACCTAAAAATAGATAAGATGGTAGATTTTATGTTTTGTGTGTTTTACCACAATTAATAGACATAAACACTGAAAAACTATTTTTTGTTACACTACATTTTCTCTGAAAAGCTGTCAACATGTCAAGTTAGGAGTATGCTCTTCTGAGAACACGGTTCATAAAGAAAAATATCTCAGCCAGCCAAGCAGAGGAGATAGGAATCAGTGCGATTTTAAGGTGAATTTCAAAAGATGGATGCAAAATATTTTCTATTCAGTTTATTTTCCCAATCCACCCTCTAAATCTTCAGGATTTAGCTGACAAGTATAAAGCCAGGTGCCCACTCAGGTAAATGACAGAGTCAGGCACGGTACACTGAGTAAGGCAGCAATTAGATGGTTTTATGCCCCAGGCTCCTGCGGGCTGTTTCGTTCCCAGGGGACAGGAGCCCAGCAGAACAGAATCTGTACCTGTGCATGTTAAAGTGCTTTCTCTCCAGGTGCCTTTCTCTGTGCAAATGGAAGTGATCTTTCCTCCAGGGCTCTCAAAGCCCTCTTGACAGACATAGTGAGCCACACCGCCCAGCCTGGAGCTGTGATTCCCCACCAAGGTGGCGTGTGGCACTTCCGGAGGGCGGCCGCAGTCAATCTCTGCAACGGGAAGGAACACGTCACTGGGTATGAGCTCCAGCTTCAAACCCCACAATCAGTATTTTAAAAATAAACATGTAATAAGGATAGAGGCCACTCATGTGGAAAAAGAGAACAAAACACTAAGCCCATCAACTAATCCAAATGTAGGTATATAAAATAAGGTTGTTCAGATATACAGAAAATAGGCATATCTGAATTTAATGAAATTTCTAAACACGTACACATAGAGAATAGCCAAATTATGAGATTATATAAAAAATTCTTTGTCTATGAAATAATGTCTTAGGGTTCTTTTAAATATTAAAATTTTCTGGTACCTTATCGTAACTCCTGAGTAGATGATAATGCAATTGTAGCAACTATTGCCAATTGAATATTAAATGAAATATATGTAAAATCCCTGAACTTTTTAAAGCAAATTAACAGATAAAGTATTTATCTTCTAAACACTCAATTTATATGTACCTTTCAAAGAAAAGTTGCATAGAGGGAAACAAACCTGGAATTAGAAAATTGACATAAAATTTCTTCTCTACAACTCTGACTACTAAAAGACAAAGGAAAGTTTATAGAGAACTATATGAAGGTGAAAGATTACAACATTACCATTCTAGACCCAGCCAAACTATACTTCACTTACGAGCCCAAATAAGCCATTTTCAGATACTTCAGAATTTTTAAAAATCCATATGTAAATCTTTTCTGAAAAAATTCAAAAATAACTCCTGTGCAACAAAAAAAAATGAATCAGAATAAATATCCTAAGAAAAGGAGCGGAGGGAAGACAAGTTTTAGAAGAAACACTAATAAAGCAATAAAATTGACAACCTGTATGAGTAAGTCTCCATAATCATTTAAATGTGATTGTAGATTTTGATGTAACTACCAGTATAGAATTCTAGAAACAAAGCTGAAAAATATTTTTTTAAAAAATAAAATTCCACATTATTTCAATAAAACCAGAGCAGTGAGGTGAGGGGAAGAAGTAAAAAAGGTACAGTTTTCATATTATGCAATCATGGGAAGCTCATAGATATAATGTTACTTAAGAAAGTATAATAGAATAGAAAATATAATAGAAAGAATACCCATAATATAAATAATTCTAAATGTATCTAATAGTTTCAGTTATACCTAAAAACAGAAAGAAAAAAACAATTTTTGGCATTCATTCTGATTTTTATTTTTCTCCCCAATGTGAAAACAAAGACAATTTAGTGCTCCTGACTTCCAGGCTTTCAAAACAGAAGTCCATTTATTGAGATATAGCATTCAAAATGGAGAAAATGGTATAATCTGTTCCCATCTTCCCATCAACCATTCTTGGCCCTATGAATAGGTGGCTTCTCTTAAATGAGCCTCAGATACAGAATTAATGGATGCCATGGGCACGCACTCTTCTCCATCCCGTTATGAATGCTTGGTCTATTGCAGGACCCCAGAGTTATTTCCCTAAAGGAGGTTTCCCAGAGTGGGGTCTCATCTGTTGGCACTGGAGTTATTGTAAGACCCTTAATACAACAGCCCAACCCACCTGGCCAGTCATTTGGCTCTGAGATCTTTAAAAAAAAAAAGCTTCTGGTCAGTACAGCTCAAGTCAAGAGCAGTTATGAGACCAGAATGAGGTAGTCATTTCACAAATCTCCAACCCTATCTACCTCTCATGTCCCACGTTTGCTCACAGACTTCATTCCTTTTCCATACATGTTTACGAGACACAAGACCCCCTTGGCCCTCATGTTTTGCCAACATCAAACCTTTACACATATTTAATGGTCCAAGGCATCCCAAGACACGAATATATTTATGTGTACATGAGCAACCAACCAAACAGATGGTTAATGTTTCATAAGACTGCCCAGTCATTGTTGACGTCTAAAACATTTAGTTTAAGCCAGGGTTCAGTTACAGCAGGAAGTAGAGGGAACATCAGTAAAGAGGTCAAAGGTATAGGTTTATTGGGTAGGTTTGTGTGCCTTGAAGCTGGAATTCTAAAAAGCCTGGTGGACAGGTTTGGGAGGGAACCCAGCAATAGGTAGTTAGATTAGGATAGAAGCACAGATACAAAAGGGATGGGAGTATGGAAGGTAACTAGATTGGCTTCCATCCTGAGCATGTCCAAGAATAATAGAATGCATGATAGCTTTAGTTGGGTCCACAAGATTTATTTAAATTAACACCAACTGGGCATGGTGATGCATGCCTGTAGTCCCGGTTACCCAGGAGGCTGAGGCAGGAGTTCTGTTACATAGAGTGGTCAGAATGGTTTGATCCCTTTCCAGAGAGGTAATACATGAGTTAGGGCCTGAAGCAGGATACTGAGCCAGCCATGTTTAGGACCAGAGGAAGGACATTTCAATAGAACGAAATAGCCAATGCAAAGACCCTGAGGTGAGGAAGCTCTTCGTGTTCCAGAAAAAGAAAAGTGACGTGTGTGGCTGGAGCATAGTGAGTGAGAGGGAGACTGGCATGAGATGAAAGTGGAGAAAAAAGCAGAGCTGAATCACACAGGGCCTTGCAAATCTTGGATTTTATTTTTAAAGCAACCGAAGGCTCCTGGTAGGTTTTAAGTAAGGGATCAAAATAGTCTGGTTTAGGTTTTTAAGACTAAACCCACTTTAACTGGTGGGTGGAGAATGGATGAAAGAAGAACAGGAATAAAAGGAGAGAGATCAGTCCAGGTCCACAGCAGCAGTCTAACAGGTGACGAGGTCTTGGATGGACCTGGATGGAGGTGATGGTGGAGATGGGAAAAGGACAGATTTGAGATGTTTTCTGGAAGCAGAAATGAACGTTCTTGGTGATGGATTGGATATGAGGGTGAGAAAGGGGGTAGAATCAAGAATAAGTACTAACATACTTACAGATGTAAGTATAAAATATTATCTTTACTTACACAAGTATTATCTGTACTATTCATTTCACCTTTATTTCCTGTCTTGAGGATTTAGTGTCTTTTTGTGAACATAGTCTGTCTTCCTAAATATATGGGCAGTTCCTAAAGGACAAAATCTTTGTCTCATAATTCTTATACCCCCACAATGCCCATTTTAAATAGCATGTTTTACATAGCCGTTAATTGAAAGCTTGCTACTACTTTACTATTGTTTGAGATACAATAAATGCTACTATGTTATGATGATAGTCCCTGAGGAAACAGACATCAGTGCATTTTAAGTCCAAATAAAAAGACAGTCATTACTTCTATATGTATTATCCAAGACAGGCAACTCACACCTATCAAACATCAAATAGACGAGAGCTGAGAAAAACCCCTCAAAACGAATATCAAAAAACGAATATCAATCTTATACCAGAGAATTCTAAGAAACTTATTCAGGCCTCAGTAATTTTAATAATAATAGCACTCATTGAAATTCTACTAAACATAAGGAAGTCTACTAGGTATACACAATCTTATTTATTTCTCACAGAAAACCCTGCAAGGTGGCCGGGCGTGGTGGCTCACGCCTGTAATCCTAGCACTCTGTGAGGCCACGGAGGAAGGATCGCTCTAGGTCAGGAGTTCGAGACCAGCCTGAGCAAGAGCAAGACACCGTCTCTACTAAAAATAGAAAGAAATTAGCCTGACAACTAAAAATATATAGAAAAAAGTAGCTGGGCATGGTGGCGCATGCTTGTAGTCCCAGCTACTCGGGAGGCTGAGGCAGAAGGATCACTTGAGCCCAGGAGTTTGAGGTTGCTGTGAGTTAGGTTGATGCCACCACACTCTAGCCCAGGCAACAGAGTGAGACTCTGTCTCAAAAAAACAAAACAAAACAAAACCCCCTGCAAGGTAGATGGGTTTTTCTCTTAAGGAAGAGCTTAAGTCACATTCGAAAGTCATACAACTAATAAAAGATTGAGCCAGTATTCAAACTGTGGTTTGTGTGACCCCAAAATCTGGCTCTGATAAATCTGGACAGCCTCACAATGAAGGGGTCCATCTAGACCCTGACTAGGTCATATAACCTTATAGGTTAGCTAAAATCTGAGGAGAAAAGGTTGCATGATGGAAGATTCATTCACATCAGTCTGGAAGGGTTCTATGACAACCTTGCTCAATCTTGTCTGCAAGAACTTTCCCAGAGCAAGGGAACTGCTGGAAACAGACTCCTCTCTCTAGCTGTGGGACCCCATGAAACCTTCCTAGAACTAATGTTTAACCCTTTGCATGATATGAGGGTCTGGCCTGGGTCTTGCCTGGAACACGACCCTGTCACAGATATTCCTAGCCGCCACCACTTCTCAGACCGAATGGTACCCGAGCAAGTAGGTAGTTCCTACTAAGACTCCAAAAATAAATCCAACAGAGGCCACAGTGGGTAATAAGAATATAATTTTATGTGAAAAAACCCCCAGAACTCTTACTATTGCAAGGAAATAAACTTTAAAAACAGTTTATACCCAGAGGAAAGGAAAAACTAAGCAGCATAAATTTGCATTGCATATGCATAGGGGTGTTCATTAAAGCACATGTTTTTCCGGCTAATTACATTATTAAGTAACCACGTTTGAATCTGCAACAGAAATACAGTCAGCTAATTATGAGCATGGCTGGGAATTTTTCCTTACTCTCCCATTGTCTGTGATTTTATTCAAATAATCAACTTCAAAATAGGCCTCCCTGGGGGTAAAATGTGTTGTGCTGGTTTCAAGGGCCAAGTTTATAATGTAACTTTATCTCATATCTCGGAGATAAAAATGTTTCTCCACACTGCTAGCTTTAATATTCTGCCCAAGAAAATATTCCAAAAGGAAATTTGTTTGATGAAAGGTATAGACAATTTATAGCATCTAATCAACAACCGAATGTTTCGCAAATGTCACACACATTGGCTGCTGTTTATCATAAACATCAGCACAATAACACAGGGTGGTGACAGAAATAACTTGGTAATATAAGCCTTCATCTAAGGCTGTTCTAGAGATCAATAAATAACAAGCTGAAAAAGGAAAAAACAATGACCCACAATGCCTATAAATTGCAGCTGACA